TTATGCCTTTGCCTCCACTGTCTTCCATGCTGGAGTGATCATGCCCTCCAACTGCTGAGAGCCTTCCTCCTTCTAGGTTGTGATCAATTAGAATGGGATAGCAATGCTTCCCTGCAGTGCTCGTGTTTCATGACATCAGCACACTAATTGACAAAATGATGGGGCCAAACAGTGTGTAAATAGTTCAGCAGCACCAATTGATGCTAAATGTAAGTGATACCCTCATGATACTTACTTTAGAAACTTATACAGAAAATGTAGTGTAAGTGAAGGAGGTGATTGCTTCCTACCAGGTGAGACAATAGGGGCAAGACAAAAGGACAGAATCTAAGGGTATGCAAGGACTCTACCAGAGCAAAAGATACACCAACATATCTCCTTGTCTTGCTAGTTACATATATGTTGGATGAGTATTCACACAATCTGGTTCTGGTCATAAACCCTGGATTTTCCCACTGTAACAGATGTCATGATCCATAAAAAAAGGCGGAAAAACTGTCTGGCTTTTGGGCATATTGTGATTGCAGCAGTGAGTTTGTGGGATCTTGTGAAACATGAGGACATGGGGGATTTGTTACTAAAGATTTCTGTTTATTGCTAATCAACACTAATAAGAACACTATAAGATAAATAAGTTGAATATATATATATAAAGCTATTGTATATATCACCAAGAAATGTGTATATATACATATATAATGTAATGTAAGAGGCATTAAAGGTATAGCACCAATTAATAGTAGAAGTAATTAGAGGTAGTCGGGAAGCAATCTGAGGTGTGAAAATCAGGAATATAGCCATAGATATGGTTTGGGCATAATTACAGGCTGAACAGAGTAATCAATAATGCTGTGGTGGTAAAATTACTTATGGATTGCAAACTAAACAGTAGCAGAGCAGAGACTTATGCTAGGTTATACTTATCAATACTGCACTGAGGACAAATCATGTACATATTCATTAAATTACTGGTACTCTAATGCATCAAACAGATCTTGGGATGGGATGTCTGAAGGTAATCTCCAAAGAGACTAGCTACCAAAAAAAAAAAAAAAAAATCAAGCCCTTTTCATATCACTGAGATGTAAGAGACCATAGGAGACTGCCATGTAGACAACCAAAGGCTGCTGTTAGTTTCTGTATCTTCTTCAGACAATGGGTGGTGTTTCTTGTTTTCCTTTATTCTTTTTAAATGAATCTTATTTCACACGTCTACTCCCACTTTCTTGGGAGAGAAGTGGTCCCTCAGTTTCTCGTTTGGTCTTTACCCTTGGTGCGTGCAGGCAGTGCCACACGAGGTGCTCAGCCACATGTCAGGACGGTGCCAGCTCCCAGCCCTGAGGCTGAGGTGCCCAGGCCTGCTGCCAGCCTCCTGCCGGCAGCCATTTTCTCTCGGAGGTGTTCAGCCGCCATTTTGTGGCAGAATTTGGCTCGTCACAAACAGGTCGCCTCCGTAACTGCTCCAATTGTTTGGAAAAGAATCATAAAAATTCTTTTCTGTGACCGGACCAATTAGTGATGGAAATTCCGCCTAAGGTGATATGAAATTAACAGTTAAAAATAAGTGCAAAATCCTTGCTATTCCAGTTTCTTATTTTGTAACCGAGGCATTAGGAGTTAAACACTATGACATTGCTAACCATATTTTGGGCATGTAAAAAATGAAGATAATAGAAAATAAAATTCTTAGTTATCTTGGCTTTAACAATCAAGGATTAGTGAATACAATTTAAAATTTATACAACAGTGGCCAAGGCGTATTTTTGTATTTCACAGTGAAATGCTTTACTGTGTATCCATAGAAGATCACAACGTGCTTCCCTCAATTCAGGGGCATGTGTTTGTGTGGGGGGGTCATCTAAAACCCTGCAAAACTTCTGAGGTTCAGTCTTCATTGGTTGCAAGCAGCAGAACAAAGAAGTCTGTCAATGTGGCTTGAAATAACCACAGCTTATTAGAAAGTGCTCCTAAATTCAAAATGTTTTTCCCTTTACAGTAGTTTATCCCCGTTCAGAGCTAGCCCAATAGTTTTATTTAACACCTGACAGAAAAACTTTGCTTTCAGGTTCAGAATAAGATTTTAGCTTCTTCTTTTTGTTTTGTTTTGGTTTGGTTTTTGTTTGTTTGTTTGTTTTTTAACTTGGCCTGGACAGAGGCTTTTCCAAAGGTAAACATAGAAGTCAGCATCAGCTTTTCTTAGTTGGAAAGTGAATTTGGAGATCAACTCTTTTTCAGACTTGTCTTATAAATGGTCCCATTATCTACCATTATCTATATATGTACCTGTTATTCCATTAAGAAAACTCTCATAACATAAAAATATTCATTATATTTTGCTTATGGTACAGGAATTCTGATACAAGCAGAGATGTACTCTAGTTATTTTATATGATTTTATATATAGATCTCCATAAGGTCTATGTCAAACAAACCACGGGAGGCCAAATTGTAGGTTGGTGTGAATCGGCGTACTTGAATTGATAAGATGAGTGGTAGCATTTTTCCACAGTATATGAAAAAGTATGCTATCAGTGCAGCACTGCCATTATGCCAGCTTGAGTGCTTGCTGTTGCTGTGTCTTTTTTTCTCTAACTCTCTTATTCCCAAGATGCTAGCAGCAGCAACATCGAAAAGCTCTTATCTCCAGACTGCAGATGGAGAAGTGAGGCACATGGTAGAATAAGGGTGAAATTCTCAGCAAAGATTTATAAGTTACTCAGGTGCCTAACTCGTATTTTCAGAACTGATACTGGCCTATTTAAAGCAGCTCTTCTGTTCACAAGAAACTGATCTACTTAGTTGCTGCAAGAAACATGCTGCTTTATATTAATCATGCGACAAAGAGAAAGAAGGGGAAAGTTCACCTGAATAGACAGGAAACGAGGGAAAGGGCAGAATGTAGCTCTGTCCTGTGTCACTTTGGTCAACTGTTGGACTCAGTGTCAAACCCTTTATTATTCCTATTTTACAAAGTGAAATACATATTTTTTAAAGCTATGAGGATGTCTTTTTTTTTTTTTTTTTTTTTTTTAATATATCTGAGATGGGAAGAGTTGTGCTCTCTTACCTTACCTTTCACACTCTTGGTCCCTCAGTTACGTAGACTCTCCTGGTGCTCCTCAAAAAAGGAAATCCTTATTGGCCTTTTTTTCTTTCAGAATATCATTAGAAAAAAGGAAAAAGTTCTTGCACTGCATGGCACTCCACAAGAAAACTCTGTCCTGATATTTCCATACAGTTCAAACATCAGTGGAATGTTCTTTGAATAGCAAGGGTCCAGAAGGATGCATGGTCTTCTGGGGGCAGACTGCTTTTGAAGCACTTCATATATCTCTTAACTGGACATATATGTCCAGGTTTAACTTTTTCACTGGAATGAAGCACAGACTGATCTTGAAAAGCTTGCTTTACAGTTGTTTCTCCTCCCTGGCTTAGATTAAGTCTGGATGAGTGCTTGCCTTTCTGTCTGTCCAAAGCTGGTGAAGGTTTGCTGTCAGAGCTTATAGATTTAGATAGCATCTAGAGAGAAATTGCTTTGTCCAAGCTGCTTTTAACAATTTCTTCACCTTCCTCTTAAAAAAAAAATAATAAAAAAAATAAAAAATCTAAAAACTGGACTGTTGAATGGAATGGGCATGTTTGAAAATGATTCATTCCATTCTTGATTCAGAGGATATTTACAATCATGAGTGGTGCCTGTGACTGGTCATCTTCAGGTTTTGTGAGACTTCTGTGCCCCACAGCCTACATTCATTTTATAACCTTATTTCTGAACTCCTGACCTTCCCTTAGCAGCATACAGTACATGCTGCTGCCTTTGAGAGATGCTAGGATCTTCTCTAGCCATAGTGGAGAAAATTTTTACAAGTGTCTGTTTATGATTTTCTATGAATAGAAAATCACAGTCTCTCTAAGATGACCACTGGACTGGGCTGTTTAAGTGGAAGTGAATAGAGAGAATCTGTACTGGTGCTGTGCTGCCTATTCTTACTATGACTTAATCATCTGAGTTTCAGGCAAAAGCTGAGTACTGTGCACGTGCAGCTGTTTTGGCAAACTTTGCTGCTGAATCTTGCAAGTCATATATGACATTCCAGGTAAAAAGGGATTTCACATAATTCAATTTTTTTTTTTGTTTTAGTTTTTTTTTTTTTTTTTTAGTAGCTGGAAAGGGCATTAGAAAGATTAAAAGATATTCAACCAACCTTTTTTTGGATATATTTCTTATTATATTAGAAAGTTTTTCCAACTGTATAGGATAAACAAGAGGAAATTGATTCTTTGCTCAGATTTGTACATGCCAAATTGTGTTCTCTGTTACTGAGATTCATTCAGTTGTCATGATCTTGCTTTTCATAGAAACAATTTTCATCTCTTCCTGTGTCCTTTAGGCTAAGGTTATGCTTCAGTCTCATAAAAAAAAGCACTCACTTTCTTTGACACTGAGTCCTAGCTGCCTTCAGTTTTGAAGTGCTGCCTTTCATGTTGGCAGATATTCATCATTACTTCTGCTTGAGATGAGAGTATTGTCAGTCCTCACTTCAGCAGGCTGGATAGGCATATTTTCCATGGTTGCAGGAAAAATCCTAGATGATAATGATATTCTATTTGGCAGTCTTGTGGTCATACAATACTTCCCTTACAGAACTACATTTTCTTCTGTTCTTCTCTCACTGAGCTTGCTATTATGTTTGTAACCTTAAAATTACAAAGCTAAAACACAAATGTCATTTTTCTGGCCTATTTATCTCAGTGAGATTCTTTTCCAATCGGGGAATAAAAAGTAATTTTGATTTCAGTTATTTTATTTAGACCTCATTCTGCATATACCTCCTCACTTTATTACTACACTCCAAACCCTTTAGAAAAGCTGAATATACCTCCAGGAATACTTGAAAGCTAGTAGATTTTTTTTAGGCCATGATATAAGCCTTTCCTACTAATTTTGTTTCTGAAGATAATTTGGTTTAATAGCAGAACATTTTTGCTCAATTTTACAGGATTAAAGAGAGGACCTATTCAGTGAGTCGTCATTGTATTCACCAATACTTCCTTCTTCATACATATATTGGTTCCTGCTTCTAGTATAATCATAAAAATAGCAGAAGCTCTTGCACCGGTGGCCATCATTCCTCTGTTATGGGTAAGAGCCTACTTTATACCCCTTTAACATCTCGTTTGTATCAACTCCTCTGTGTGTTTCAGCTTTGAAAACTAAATGCTCAGAGCTTTTTTTTTTTTTTTTTTTTTTTTTTTTTTTCACCTTTAGGCCCTTGAGTTCATACCCTTCATCTAGAAATATTCTTTGATGTGTACTTCAGCATTTTCTGGCTAAATGCTCTTGCTTTAAGGCATTTAGATATTTTTGATGCTTAGACATTTTAATTTAAATAACTGATTAGATGCTAACACTCCTGTGACAGAGCACACATTAGGATCCAGGGCCTGTATTAAGCTTGTGCATTTTCATTTTTTGAATGAGCTGTTCTTGCTGTGTGGGTACAAATCTTTAGTTAGTCAGTGATGATGCTATTGCTCTTAATCATTCTGTTTTAAGCTTTCTGCAGTTCTTCTAAAATTGTTTACAGATGCAAAGAGGTGCCTTAACTCTTAATTTCCGCTGTATTAAGAGCCTAAGGACATCTTAAAACTCAAACATGTATCAGTGCCTTTAAGTCTCACCACAAGTGCCTGCAGCCCACCAAACAGCATCCCTGTGCTGAAAACTGTGACACTGTGCATTGCAAATGCATGGCAAATAAAACATTAGCACGTTACCTAAGAATGTTTACACAGGACAGAAAGAGCGTGTGTTTAATGCTGGTGCTGAAATATGTGTAATTGTCTGGTCAGAATGCCATAATCACCCAGGTTAACTACAGGGTATTTGTGAAGAATATAGATACCTCCAGAGGTGATAGAACCCTATTAATGTCTCTGTTACCTTTTGGACATGTCTGCCTCTGTGCATTGACCAGGAAGAGACCAATGCTCCTAAATTTTAGAAGCTCAGTCACGTGCTAAGACTTAACTGGGATAAAGTCCAGGAAGAAAAGAAAAGAAAAAAAAAAAAAGAAAACCAGATTAGGAATACTTTTAGGAAGTATTAGCCATTTAGCAGGTCCTATTTTTAATTCTCACTTGTGTGTAGAAGAAAGGAATTAATGAACTAAGTGTTTTAATATTAATTTTAGAGACCTGCAACAAAATGCAGGATGTGTGGTTATCAGAAAATGAGCAGCTATGAGATATTTTCTGTAAGTCTAGTATATCTTCATAGCACCAATGATTCTTCCAGATGTACTTGTAACTGTGAAATCTTTGTATGACGTAGCTGCAGAAACCAATTTCACTTGAGTGGGATATATGTTTTCAACAAGTAATTTCTGTGAGAATGCTTGAAACATGAGTGGCGGAGACCAAAACTGTAAGTTCCTTTGAGGTCCTGCTGAAATTGAAAAATCTAGGAATTTTTTATTCTGGTGAAATATAAATAATGAATACTCTCCTTTCTGGATAAGAGGAAAAATATAATTCTGAAATGCCAAGACAAAGCATGTCCTCAATCTTACCTCCTTCCAAACTTGATTTCTTGTTGTTTTGGATGAACTTAGAATCAATATCTAAGCTATCGGATGATCGCAAAAGGTCAGCCATTGATTTTTTTTTCTATTTATGGCATTTTCTTTAGATTTTTCTTTGTTCTTTAGTACTACAAATATGACTTGTGTATTGTTCTGAGAACATTAATCCATTACACTATGGAAATGACATATTTTTGATGTCAGTAATCATATTGATTGATATCAAGTACAATGATCTTTAGAAATATTTCATTTAAATACCAACTACTATTTTAAAATATCAAAATATGAATTAGCTTCTCGTTAGAGAGCTCATGCTGTATACAAAGAAGTGATCTTGTTTCTGTAATTCATGGAAGGTCTAATCTAAATCCCATTGAAGTTTGCAGGAGGTTTTTCAAGGCAAATAAGATGAAAATCATAAAGTCTTTGTACTTGTATAAGATATAGTGCTTTCTTTGCTTTTCTAATTCAGGCAACAGAGAGTCTGACTGGGGTCTATGTGCTTAGAAGGTTGCATAACGTTTTCATATGGCTGCAATTTCAAGCCCAATGGATAAAAATTAAAAACAATAACAAGCTTATTTGTGCACTCAGTGTAACTCAATGCTGTGCAATTGTTTGGAAGTTTGGATTGTCTATTCATTGCAAATAGCATCTGTGCTCAATTACATTCAGTCTATTAGGAGGCAGGGCTTTCAGAAGTAATAAAAGCGTCTTAAGAGATGCTTTGCACTAGAGAGCTAATGATTTCTGAAAAAGACAGACAATTGGGTTGATTCCACAGGTACTGCAGAAGGGAAAATGTTCCAGATGAAATGGAAATTATTTCATGAATCATCTCATGATTTCACAGAAAGAAGGGGAGTATTATTACTGATTATTCTCTATAAAATGAGTTTAGCAACATACCATCATCCAAAAAGGCAAAGTGAAAGGTTGCTAAATTGGATATTTAAATTTTGCTAATGAGAATGAAGTGAGTTGATGAATGTTGAATCACTCCTTGGCAGTTTTTAAAGAAAGGTTATCATTCATTCTCTTTTCTGTACTGACAGATGATGTTTCTTGTTGAAATGAGGCTTTCCTGACTTTTGATAAAGTCTGCTGAAAATAGCATTCTCCTGCCCGAGCTGTGTATTCAGTTATAACAAGTACTGACAGGGAATGATAATTTGGGACGCTCTGCAGTGTTTTGCCCTTTGGAAGGTTTTCTCTTGTTTTGTGTGAAGTGCGCCATGGTATCGCTGTATTGCATTATTTAGCAATGAATTTAGAAGGTGCCACTGCTGTCTGTTCCAGCAATCCATACTGAACTCAAGTAGTCTCTCCTGCCTCATGAAAGTAGGGCACTGATAAATTAAATTAACCTCTTGTGTGCGGCAGACTAGGCAATGATAAAACTTATGGCAAGTGGATGATGTGTTTTGCTCCACCACTCTGTCCCTTTCCTGATGGCTGCTTTCTAACTGCAGAAGTTGAGCCCTCTGGATGATGATGGCAGGGCTGATGGGCTGCTTAAATTCCTTCCCTTGCTTCCTCCTGTTCTTAAGATCCATCACAAGTGGACTTTGGGCCACAAAAAACATCTGTTTACCACAGTGATGCTGTATATAGAGTTTCCAGTTTGTATATGTTCTTTTTTTTTTTTGTATCTGGTATTTATACATAACTGTGGAAGGCTGTAAGAAGCTAGAAGTGAGGAGAAGTCTCCTGAAAGGAGACAAAAATTGCAAGGTATAAGCTTGGAAATAAATTTCAGCATTTGTGGAGCAGACTGTGTATATGCAAATGCATCTGGATTATCTGACGGCCTTTCCACATGACACGTTTTGTGCATTCTTCTTGACCAAAGAGGAAAGAAAATATTGAGGGTAGTCATTCAGTTGTAGGAAATACAGCAAAACCAGTTCAAATAGTGCTTTGGTAAATAGTCAAAAGGACAAAAGGGAGGGAAGTCATCAGGTGGGTAATCAGATAGTGACAGTATGTTTGTGTTTGCTGCTAGAGTACATTGAAAATGTTGTTCATTTAACATCAAGCATCCAAAGATTATCAATTCTTATTTCATCAGCAGGTACAGAGTGATAAAGCTGCCAATGATCTAAACATAGAAGTGGAAGAAAGAGGTTAAAATGTCTTAGAAAACCAATTAGATATTAATTGTGATAGGAAGAGCATTATCTGAATTTAAATAAGTTAGTAATTCTGTCCATATAATCAGAGACTTGATCTAAAACTTTCCATTACTAGTCTGAAAAACATTGGTATAATAAATAGGAATGCTATTCTTTGTTTCTGGTGGGTTTTCATCATTTTTTGTTTGTTTGTGGTTTGTTTTGGTAGCAATTGCATGGATGGCAAGTTAATAGTCCTTCTGCAGGCAGAATTTCACCTGATGAATTTTGAAATGTCAATGAAATGAAAAACAACCAGTGTAGTTGTACTCATTTGTGTAGAAAATTCTCTTACCCTCCTTCATCTTTTATTTCCCATCACACCCTGTTTTGATCTTAGGGCAAAAAAAAAAAAGTGTTACCATTTTTTTCACGTACTGTTAAATTGCCTGTAGTGCGTTGATAGCCTTGCTCTCTGCTGGCTGGGAGGTATGGCCATTTTGTGTACTTTATTCATTATATTCATTATATTCATTTATTCATTGTGTACTTTAGTCATTATATACCTGATTGTGACATCTGTGCAGCTTTACAGCATCAGAAGTGACAGAGCTTTGATTTCAGTTGGGAGTGCTGAGCACAGATGTCTCACGAATAATACATAAAAATAAATATATATATAAAATAATTGATTCCCACTTTCATATACCACACTGTGTATACCATGTTTAGCAAAAGAACTTTCACCTACTAAAGTTTTCTAATATATTCACTGGTAGGTTTAAGAAGGCAAGATAATTACTTTTTCTACCCCCGTTAAAAAAAAAAAAAAAAGTCTATTTCTATTATTAATTTTTAAGAAATATGAAATTGAGGATGCAAAATGGATGGGTTCTTTAAAAACAAACAACTAAACCAAACCAAACAAAACAAACAAACAAACAAACAAAAAAAAAGTTAGGAGCTGGAAAACCACGTGTAAATGAGGCACTGTCTCCTTGTCATGTTGCCTGGTCAATAATTTTTCTCACAGTGAGATTTGTACTTGTTCACAACAGCTCCTGTATCCCACCACAGCCTACAGTCCCTCTCTTTTGAAAGAGATGATACATGAAAAGCTGAACACAGACTTAGTTCTGTAACTCAGCCAGCAGCACAATTTCTAATGCATGCAAATGAACTATTCATGGTGCAAAGGCAGTTCTTTAAAGATTTATTAAAATATCACTTTGCAAATGGGAGAGTTAACAAGCTAAGTGTTCATAGTGTGATAAATGCTTTCTTAAAAAGTGCTGTTGGTGGTCCCTGTGCAATGCTTTGCCAACAGGCCCACTTTCTTAGCAAGGTCCTGCCTTGTGGCTGAGAACTGTTTGTTTCTATGCTTTCAGTTTTCACCATAGTGCCAGTCTTGTCTGGAGCTCTTGTTGTGTATGTCAGAACCA